AATAATATATAGTATAAAAAAATGCAACATAACATGATACACAAGAAGAGAAAATATTATTCAAAATACTTTTCTTTAGGACTTCCTATTGTCTAAAAATTTTATATAAAAAAAATACAATAAAAAATGCGCAGAAAAAAAAAACGAAGGGAAAGGACTCTGATTTTGTTGTTTTATCTCTATCTTTTGTAACCTCTCATAAATGTATTTGGTTATGTAAAAAATACATTCTTCTAATATTGAGCTGTCAAAAAGTTAACTGTGACGTAAAAAACAGTTGTAGAGGCAGTATTAAAGTATATCCATGCAGACACATTACAAGGATGTCTATGTATTCAGGAGCACAGGCATGAACATCTAATCCCAGGCTTGGCAGCAGATGGCCTATGTAAGGTGAATTAGGAAGAATATGCTTTGCCTCTGTGGTGTGTAGACTGACTTGGCTTGCAGGATCTGCTTCTGGAGCTGATCATCGAATTACCAGCCTCCACATCCAGTACCATTTCATCTGCCTTTATGCCTGCCTTAGGAGATAGTGTGAGGTTTCTTTGGTGCACACTTTTGCTGCTTTGCTATTTCATTTTAACTTTTACGGTTTATTTTTGTTGTTTTACTGTTTAAATGATGTAATGGTTACGAACAAAAGGCAGACCACCAATCAAGTGACTACTGTGATTCAATCACTCCAAAGTTGCAACCAACTCCAAAAAGTATAATACCAAACTAACAAACTAACCCCTTTCTCAAAAGAACCCATATATATATATATATATATATATATATATATATATATATATTGTATTTTTTACTTATTTCAGGTTTACATATACACTCAATGGCCACTTTATTACCTACACCTTGCTAGTGCCCGGTTGAACCCCCTTTTGTGTTCACAACTGCCCTAATTCTTTGTGGCATAGATTCAACAATACCTTGTTGAATGTGAAACATTCCTCAGGGATTTTGGTTCATATTGACTTGAGTTACTGTTGCCTTTCTATCTTCTTGAACCAGTCTGCCCATTCTCCTCGGACATCAACAAAGCATTTTCATCCATACAACTGCTGCTCACTGGATATTTTCTCGGACCATTCTGTGAACCCTAGAGATGGTTATGTGTGAAAATTCCAGTAGATCAGCAGTTTTTGAAATACTCAGATCAGCCTGCCTGGCACCAACAGCCATGCCACGTTCAAAGTAATTTAAAGTGTTACTAAACCCAGGGCCCTGCATTCACTATATCTGATCTCCCACAGTACACAGGACATGGAAATACAATTATTTTAGTAAATATAAACTGCTCAATACCTTTTCTCATCAGCAGTTAGAGCAGTCTTGTGACTTCTATCAGTGTCCAGCAGAGCACTGGTTAAAGCTTGTAGAAGGTGTTTTCATTCTCCCCTGATTGTCTTATGAGGCTACAGAAGACCTTACCCTCTGTCTGGACAGTGCTGATTGGCCCTGTTCTGATCACATGCAATCTCCCAAGAAAAAAAAACTCTCTAACAATACACACCAGATGAATTGGGGACAGTAGAAAAAGAAGGGAAGGATCAGAGAAGACAGGATCAAACTGCCTTTTTACACAAAGTGGAGGATTAACCCCTTAGGTTCCACAGTGAGTATAACAAGCATGTTTCACTGCATATACAAATAAAATACAAAAATCCCCCTGCGCTCCACAGAACCTAGTGAGTAAGCTGCTATCACCTGTTCTTTATACCGCAAGATGTGTGAAATCAAATCATATAAGTGGTGAAGCGCTCAACTTATAATTACCTAGTGAATACACAAATCATATAAATACAAATAATTATAAATAATTATAAACTAGTGCAATATCTTCATACACATAACGAATATATATCCCTGGTGATATAGTGAAAAACTTATATCTTTTAAACTGTGCAGAAAGTGAAAAAAATACAATAATTAAATAAATAGTGATGCCACACTGTGAAATTAATGGCAAAATAATCACTATAATCACTTAATCACTGCATATACAGACTGATTTTACTGTTGTGGGTTTAGTAACACTTTAAATCCCCTTTCTTCCCCATTCTGATGCTTCACCACGTCTACATGCCTAAATACTGCCATGTGATTGGCTGATTAGCCATTTGTGTTACCAAGCAATTGAACAGGTGTACCTAATAAGGTGACTGGTAAGTGTATATACAGTGGGGCAAAAAGTATTTAGTCAGCCAATTGTGCAAGTTCTCCCACTTAAAAAGATGAGAGAGGCCTGTAATTGGCATCATAGGTAGACCTCAACTATGAGAGACAAAATGAGAAAACAAATCCAGACAATCACATTGGCTGATTTGGAAAGAATTTATTTGCAAATTATGGGTGGAAAATAAGTATTTGGTCAATATCAATATTATCCTTTGTTGGCAATGACAGAGGTCAGACGTTTCCTGGAAGTCTTCACAAGGTTTGCACACACTGTTGCTGGTATGTTGGCCCATTCCTCCATGCAGATCTCTAGAGCAGTGATGTTTGTGGGGGCTGTCTCTGGGCAACAACACGGACTTTCAACTCCTCCAAAGGTTTTCTATGGGGTTGAGATCTGGAGACTGGCTAGGCCACTCCAGGACCTTGAAATGCTTTTTACGAAGCCACTCCTTCGTTTGCCCGGGCGGTATGTTTGGGACATTGTCCATGCTGGAAGACCCAGCCTGGTTTCATCTTCATGCCCTTGCTGATGAAGGAGGTTTGCACTCAAAATCTCACGATACATGGCCCCATTCATTCTGTCCCTGTACATTGATCAGTCGCCCTGGTCCCTTTGTGGAGAAACAGCCCCAAAGTATGATGTTGCCACCCCCATGCTTCACAGTAGGTATGGTGTTCTTTGGATGCAAACTCAGCATTCCACTCTCCTCCAAACACGACGAGTTGTTGTTTTCTACCAACAGTTCTTCTATTTTGGTTTCATATGACCATATGACATTCTCCCAATCCTCTTCTGGATCATCCAAATGCTCTCTAGCAAACTTCAGACAGGCCCGGACATGTACTGGCTTAAGCATGGGGGGACACGTCTGGCACTGCAGGATCTGAGTCCCTGGCGGCGTAGTGTGTTACTGATGGTAAGCCTTTGTTACGTTGGTCCCAGCTCTCTGCAGGTCATTCACTAGGTCCCCCCGTGTGGTCCTGGGATTTTTGCTCACTGTTGTGATCATTTTGACCCCACGGGGGTGAGATCATTGCGTGAGAGCCCAGAATCCGAGGGAGATATCAGTGGTGTCTTGTATGTCTTCCATTTTCTAATTATTGCCCCCACAGTTGATTTGTTCACACCAAAGCTGCTTACCTATTGCAAATTCAGTCTTCCCAGCCTGGTGCAGTCTACAATTTTGTTTCTGGTGGTCCTTCGACAGCTCTTTGGTCTTCACCATAGTGGAGTTTGGAGTGTGACTGTTTGAGGTTGTGGACAGGTGTCCCTTTTATACTGATAACAAGTTCAAAAAGGTTTGCCCACTGTGTCAGGAATGGACTTGCCAATAATGGTGGGGGACTCATCCACCTGCCTTGTGGGCTGCAGTACCAGGGCTGGCCAGGCGTGGTGCCTCTCTCCAGCAATCATGAGACTCAACCTTGCAGTGAGCAAAAACACACTGGAGGCTGATTGCAGGTGTATTTAAGGGATGGCCAGACCTGCAGTCTGTGCCTTGGTTGTGTGTTTTTCCATGGGCCCCCTGTATCTTGTTACCTGCATCCCTGTTCCCCTGTCTGACTGATTTGTTGCCGACCCTGCCTGATCCAGACCTCTGCTGACTTCTCCTGTTTGATCCCTGGCTTGTGACCCCGACCATTCTCTGCCCTGACCCCCTGTACCTACCTGCCCGTTAGTTGCTGTACCCGGGCTCGTATGACCTGACTACTCTCTGCCTGCTCCTCCTGTTCCTACCTTTGCCCAATTGTTATTGACCGGCTTACCTGACTACGCTCGCACTGTATGTATTGTTATCTGTGGTGTGGTTTGGTTCGTTTGCACTGTGTTATTGGTTTTAGTATTGCACTGCGTTTATGTATTGTTAGTATTAATAAATTATATTGTTTATAACATATCTGAAGCCTGCGTTTCCCTGCGTCAGTTTCACATACCTCTGGTCATACCCGGAGCCCTGACATTACACCAAGGCCGATCCTGACCAGAAGTGGCTGCACAGGGAAGCCATCTTGGCTTGTTGCTGGGAAGGATGGATCTTGATGAGGTTTGTGTATTTGTCGCTGCTGGCTGTTTTGATGACAGAGAATATGCTTATCAGACTCTGAGGGAGTGATACCCGGGATCAACTGCTAGAAATGTAAATGGATCGCTCAAGTTCTAGTAGATCAGGACCACAGAGGTTCTCTGAGGTGCAACCTTTGATTCAGGTTTGTGTAGAGTTGGCTTTCATCTGGTACCCCTGAAAGCAGGAATGACTTTTTGCCACCATTTAGTGCAGACCAGGTAGAGTCCCTGGTATGGTTATTATAGGATGATGTGGATTGCTTCTTGGAGCATTATGCTGCAATGTTCAACACAGGTATTAAGGGATTGGTATAAACGCAGTGCAGTCTTTGACCAGACAGGCTTTGTGTAAGCTCAGCTTTGTTCAACCCCATACTGCAGACATGGTCAGACTTGATTGCACCCAGCCCTCAGTCAGCTTGCAACATCATTCCTCCGCTTCAAGGCACTCTTCCTACATCCCCGACAGCACCCCCCCCAGCGACGGGGCCCAGTATACTCTGCTAACTACCACATACCAGTCCCCTGCTCCCACTCGCTGCAACTCTATCCTTTTCTTTAACCCTGTAAAGAAGTTTCCTCTGTAGCAACTGCTCCCTCCTCTGTTCCATCTTCCAGCTCTCCTCTGTCCTCAAGCTGCTCCATTCGTTTGCAGACCTGCGTTTATTTGCAGTGCTCCAGTAGTTAAAACCAGAAAAAAGCGAAAATTCTTTCCAACCAGTACCATCCTGCCAGTAAATCCAAACCGGTGAGCCTGCCGTCTGAGAACCTGCCTTCCGTGGTTCAGCCTGGTGCCTCGGCACCCGCACTTCAGCCTGATGTGGCCTCTACCCAGCCTGATGTCTGTACCCAGCCTGATGAACTGATCCAGCCTGATGACCCTATCACGCCTGATGACCCAGTGCCCGCTGTCATACCTGGTGACCCGATGCCCGCTGTCGAGCCAGACGATCCAATGCCTGATGACCCAGTGCCCGCTGTCATGCCTGGTGACCCGATGCCCGCTGTCGAGCCAGACGATCCAATGCCTGATGACCCGGTGCCCGCTGTCGATCCAGACGATCCGGTACCCCGATGACCCAGTGCCCGCTGTCATGCCTGGTGACCCGATGCCCGCTGTCGAGCCAGACGATCCAACGCTAGATGACCCAGTGCCCGCTGTCGATCCAGACGATCCGGTACTAATGACCCCGTGGTGCCCGCTGTCGTGCCTGGTGACCCGATGCCCGCTGTCGAGCCAGACGATCCAATGCCTGATGACCCAGTGCCCGCTGTCATGCCTGGTGACCCGATGCCTGCTGTCGAGCCAGACGAGTCCAGGGCCATGTGACCCGGTGCCTGCTGTCGAGGCCAAGACGATCCGGTACCTGATGACCCGGTGCCCGCTGTCGTGCCAATTGACTCAGAGCCCACTGTCGTGCCTGGTGACTCGGTGCCCACTGCCTTGCCAGATGACGTGGTGCCCGCTGTCGAGCCAAATGACCTGATGCCTGGTGACCCGATGCCCGCTGTCGAGCCAAACGATCTAATGTCTGACCCAGTGCCCGCGGTCATGCCAGTTGACTCGGAGAGCCACTGTCGTGCCTGGTGACTCGGTGCCCACTGCCTTGCCAGATGACGCAGTGCCCGCTGGCGAGCCAAATGACCTGATGCCTGGTGACCCAGTGCCCGCTGTCATGCCTGGTGACCCGATGCCCGCTGTCAAGCCAGACAATCCAATGCCTGATGACCCAGTGCCCGCTGTCATGCCGGTGACCCGATGCCCGCTGTCGAGCCAGACGATCCAATGCCTGATGACCGGTGCCTGCTGTCGAGCCAGACGATCCGGTACCTGATGACCCCAGTGCCCGCTGTCGTGCCAATTGACTCAGAGCCCACTGTCGTGCCTGGTGACTTGGTGCCCACTGCCTTGCCAGATGACGCGGTGCCCACTTCGAGCCAAATGACCTGATGCCTGGTGACCCAATGCCCGCTGTCGAGCCAGACGATCCAATGTCTGACCCAGTGCCCGCGGTCATGCCAGTAGTTGAATTGGAACCCATGTCGTGCCTGGTGACTCGGTGCCCACTGCCTTGCCAGATGACGCGGTGCCCGCTGGCAAGCCAAATGACCTGATGCCTGGTGAACCCGATGCCCGCTGTCGTGCCTGACGACCCGGTGCCCTCCGCTCCGCCTGGGGGGCCCGCCGCTCCGCCTGGGGGCCCGGCGCTCCGCCCGGTGACCCGGCGCCCGCCACTCCGCCTGGGGGCCCGGCGCCCCCTCCTGGGGGCCTGGCGCCCGCCGCCCCTCCTGGGGGGCCCGGCGCCCGCCGCCCCTCCTGGGGGCCCTGTGCCCGCCGCCCCTCTGGAGGCCCTGTGCCCGCCGCTCCGCCTGGGGGCCCTGTGCCGTCGCTCCGCCTGGGGGCCCTGCGCCCGTCGCTCCGCCTGGGGGCCCGCTGCCTGTCGCTCCGCCTGGGGGCCCTGTGCCTCTGCCCGGAGTCCAGCCCGATGTGCCAGGCTGGCCAGCGGGTGCTCTCAGCAATCAGAGACTCAACCCTGCAGTGAGCCAAAACACATGAGGCTGATTGCAGGTGTATTTAAGGGATGGCCAGACCTGCAGTCTGTGCCTTGGGTGTGTGTTTTTCCATGGGCCCCTGTATCTTGTTACCAGCATTCCTGTTCCTGTCTGACTGATTTGTTGCCGACCCTGCCTGATCCGGGACCTCTGCTGACTTCTCCTGTTTGATCCCTGGCTTGTGACCCCCCCGACCATTTCTCTGCCTGACCCCCTGTACCTACCTGCCTGTTAGTTGCTGTACCCGGCTCGTGACCTGACTACTCTCTGCCTGCTCCTCCTGTTCCTACCTGCCCGATTGTTATTGACCCGGCTTACCTGACTACGCTCGCACTATGTTTTTAGTATTGCACTGCGTTTATGTATTGTTAGTATTAATAAAATTATATTGTTTATAACATATCTGAAGCCTGCATTTCCTGCGTCAGTTCACATACCTCTGGTCATACCCGGAGCCCTGACACACTGATACAGGTAATGAGTGCAGGACAGAGGAGCCTCTTAAAGAAGAAGGTACAGGTCTGTGAGAGCCAGAAAAATCTTGCTTGTTTGTAGGTGACCAAATACTTATTTTCCACCATAATTTGCAAATACATTCTTTCCAAATCAGCCAATGTGATTGTCTGGATTTGTTTTCTCATTTTGTCTCTCATAGTTGAGGTCTACTATGATGCCAATGTCAGGCCTCTCTCATCTTTTTAAGTGGGAGAACTTACACAATTGGTGGCTGACTAAATACTTTTTTGCCCCACTGTATTACATTCATATTAGTCCCTGCCCTCAAGAAGCTTACAATCTAACGTCCATAATGCACATACTAGTGTGAATGTTTAGACAGGAGCCAATTAACCCATCAGCATGTCTTTGGAGTGTGGGAGGAAACCTGAGTAACTGGAGGAAAAATTATGCAGGCACGAGAAGAAACCGTAGTATCTGCAGGAAACACACACAGGCACAGGAAGAACATGCAAACTCCAGGCAGGCAGGGATTGAAACAGACGAGCCTAGTGCTGATAGGTGGAAGTGCTACCTTTGTCTCTGCCCCCTACCCTCCTCTGAGCATGGTCCCTTGGTTCCAACCCCTACCCACCTTCCAATATTGTCCCCTTTTAGAGAATGCAGAACAAATAATCATTTTGTGGTGCTAAATAGTTAGTATGGAATTAGTTAATGATAACAAGAAAAGCAACAAAACAGATTCCCTGCAGCCAGCAACATTAGGTCCCTTCAGCAATATTAAACCCCACTTTAACAACAATAGATTCCCTGCAGCAATAGACCCCACCCCAGCAACAATAGATCCCTTTCACGACAACAGAAACCACACCCACAACAAAAATCACCCCAGCAACATGAGCTCCACTCCAGCAACATTAGACCCCCCCAGCAGCAAACAACAGATCTCCCAATAGCCAGCAACCTCTCCTCAACAGTAGATCCCTACCAGCAAAAAAAAAAAAAAAAAAGACTACCAGCTAGAACAGACCCTCCACCAGCAACAATAGCCCCTTGCTATTACATACATTCAGTGTTGGAGGTGCCGAAACTGCGTTCCCTCACGTTCTTGCTGAAAAAAGCCATATATGTGTGTGTATACACATACACACACACACTATATTGCCAAAAGCATTGTGATACCCTTCCAAATCATTGGATTCAGGTGTTCCAATCATCTCCATGGCCACAGGTGTAAAAAAATCAAGCACCTAGGCATGCAGACTGCTTCTGCAAACATTTGTGAAAGAATGGGTCACTCTCAGGATCTCAGTGAATTCAAGTGTGGTACCGTAATAGGTTGCCACCTGTGCAATAAGTCCATCTATGAAATTTCCTTGCTACTAAATATTTCACGGTCAACTGTTAGTGGTATTGTAACAAGGCGGAAGCAACTGGGAAGAACAGCAACTCAGCCACCAAGTGATAGGCCACATAAAAATAACAGAGCGGGGTCAGTGCATGCTGAAGTGCATAGTGCGCAGAAGTCGCCAACTGTCTGCAGAGTCAATAGCTAAAGACCTCCAAACTTCATGTGGCCTTCAGATTAGCAACAACAGTGCGTAGAGAGCTTCATGGAATGGGTTTCCATGGCCGAGCAGCTGCATCCAAGGCTTACATCACTAGGTGCAATGCAAAGGGTCAGATGCAGTGGCGTAAAGCATGGCGCCACTGGACTCTAGAACAGTGGAGATGTGTTCTGTGATTGACCAATCCCACTTCTCTGTCTGGAAATCCGAAGGACGTGTGAGTTTGGCAGTTGCCGGGAGAACGGTACTTGCCTGACTGCACTGTGCAAAGTGTAAAGCTTGGTGGAGGGGGGGATTATGGCGTGAGGTTGTCTTCCAGGGGTTGGTCTTAGCCCCTTAGTTCCAGTAAAGGGAACTCTTAAGGTGTTAGCATACCAGACATTTTGGACAATTTCATGCTCCCAACTTTGTGGGAACAGTTTGGAGATGGCCCCTTCCTGTTCCAACATGACTGTGTACCAGTGCACAAAGCAAGGTCCATAAAGATATGGATGAGCGAGTTTGGAGTGGAGGAACTTGGCTGGCCTGCACAGAGTCCTAACCTCTACCCGATAGAACACCTTTTGGATGAATTAGAGCGGAAGACTGTGAGCCAAGTCTTCTCATCTGACATCAGTGCCTGACCTCACAAATGCGCTTCTGGAAGAATGGTCAAACATTCCCATAGAAACACTCCTAAATCTTGTGGACAGCCTTCCCAGAAGAGCTGAAGCAGCAAAGGGTGGGACAACTCAATATTGAACCCTACGGCCTAAGACTGGGATGACATTAAATTTCATGTGCATGTAAAGGCAAGTGTCCCAATACTTTTGGCAATATAGTGTATATATAATATCTCAATAAACACAGTGAGGGCGCAAAAGAGAACACTAAAATTCAAAGAACCTAAGCACAGTTATATATATTCAATCCACTTACACAAATATCCTCCTATGTTTCCGCACTATACCAGCTACTGGTATGATTCATTTTTTTTCGTTCAACGCGTAGATGAGGGAATCACTCCCGCTGAGCTATTGTATTCTGCTGGCAGAGAGCCTTCCTCACCAGCAAAATAGAATTATCACTGTTGCCAGCTGTAGCCGGAGGAACTGTTCATTCAGGAAAAACCCTACAGGATGGCTGTACCCAAATCGATCGATAGATCGACTTGTGTACAACCAGATAGTCCATACATGGATCCTAAATTTGGCCAGTTCAGCATGACATTTCAATCTATGCATGGCCGGTTTTAGCCCCCTTGTGTCAGCAATAAAACTAAATGGGGGTAAAAAAAAAAAAAGTGTAAACAATATACAATAATAATAAATTATATAAAAATAATTGTAAAAACATTTAAAAGCACCCCTGTTGCCCCCGTGCACACACAAATGCAAACACACACATAGGGCACTATGTAAACATAAATAAATGGTTAGAACATCTGCCTGGCTGTACTAGGGTCGTCGGTTTGAATCCGGCACCACCTGCCTAGAGTTTGCATGTTCTCCCTGTGCCTGCGTGGGTTTCCTTCAGGTACTCTGGTTTCCTCCCACACTCCAAAGACATGCTGGTAGGTTAATTGGATCCTGTCTAAATTGGTCGTAGTATGTGTATATATGAATGTATGTGAGGAACCTTAGATTGTATGCCCCTTGAGCCTGGGTTCACATATATGCGGTGCAGTATATCGCACCGAACCATATCGCATTCCTGTGCAAATCAAATGCATTTTGTATGGCTCTAATCGCACCGCACCCCAA